TGTAATAAGAAGCCTTTTAATTCACATTAAAAGTTCTGAGAAGTAAGGTTGTATAATAAAAATTCCACCAATTTCTTACTCGGAGTATTGAGAGCAGGAAAGGACGACCCAAGGTATGTCATTCCTAGAGCTGTGTTGTCTGATTAGCCACTAGCTATTGTCATTTAAACTCTAAATTACAAATAAATTTTTAGTTCCTTAGTTGTACTAGCCACATTTCTATTGCTCAATGTGACTAGTGGCTACCATATTGCACAGAGCAGATTTGTAATACTAGAAAGTTTTTTGGATAGTGCTTCTCTTTAACAGTGGTCAGCAAACTTTTTGTGTAAAGAGCCAGATAGTAAATTTTTCAGACTTTACAGGATACATAAGATCTCTGTTGTATATTCTTCTTTTATTTTCTTTCATTTTTTTTAAAAACAACCCTTTGCAAATGTAAAAACCGTTTTTAGCTCACATGGCCATATAAAAATAGTCCTCTGGCTATAATTTGCCAACCTCTGCTCTAAAGGATTAAGAACGACCCAGAAAAATCAGAGAACAGCTACATAGACACCCTCTAACCCTTCCAGAGGAGGACATTGATCTGATGATGTGAACCTCAGTGTATGAAGTAGCTTGTCCTCATTAAAGCAATTATAAGTCAAGAGGAGTGGGGTTGTGGTCCCAGCTATGCCATGTCTGTGACCTTGTTCAGGCCTGCTTACTCATCGGTAAAAGAAGACATCAGAAGATGTGTTAATATTGACTAAAAAGCCAACTGCTGCTTATTTCTCTAAGGAAATACATGTTGGTTATTTTTAAAATTTTGTTGTGAATATATTTTAAATAGAGTATTCATAATGGAGACTTAAGTGCTTTTTAAAGTAAGTTGTAATTTGAAGAACACTAAGAGCTTGGACTCTCCTGTTTTTGTTTTTGTTTTGTTTGTTGGTTTGTTTTTTTAATTACTCCATTCCACTCTTAACTGTTCCTCCTCATTTTTCTCTTTTCCTTTTTTTCTGTCCTTCCCCCCCCCGCCCCCCTCCCCCCCCCATGTATGCCTTGTCAGATTCTTTTTGTGGCACTCAAGCTTATCCTAATACTACCCTTATGTGCCATGAGCCTTCTACTGTAGCTGGTTTATTCGGAGGTAGGTAATGGTATCTCTGAAGTTTATCAATTTATTTATGCAGGAGGGAGTTCTTTGTTTTCTTTAAAATGAGTTTTTTTTTTAATTTGGTAAGAAAAAAATACTTGCTTTTGAAGAACAGATCACTTTTTCCCTTATTTTGTTTGTCTTGATTAAACACAGGATTGTTTTGTGAATGGATGCTTGTCATCTCCCTACTTTAATCTATACTCAAAAGGTTCACATTTTCAGATGAGCTTACAACATTACAAGCTTATGGAATTTAAAGCTCTTTGTATAGATGTTAGTGATTAAACACTAAATAATTTTGCCTTGAGCAGTTGTGGCATTCTCCTAGAAACAAGGGTACTTTTCCAGCACTGCAAAGGCAGAAGAAATAGGGAACAGTTTCCAGAGAGGCATGGCCATTTTGATACTCATTTCTATCTTTCCAAACATGTTCTGGGCCATTGCAGTAGTAATGAAACCCCAAAATTCAGCTGATTTTTTTTTTTTTCTTTTTTGGTGCATAGGAGTTGATTACCTTAGTTCAATTGGCATGAAAAAGTGGGTGTGACACAACTGAAGAATTGAGGTTCTTGACTAGCAGACTTGGGCATGATTAAAAGTATTTAAAAATGGAATTTATGAGGACGTTTGATAGAAAGTGTGTGTTTAGAATCCAGTGAATTTGCATTTGAATTCCTGTTTGAATTCCAATTCTACTTCCTTACCTGTGTGACTTGGAAACAAGTATTTAACCTTTCTAAGACTATGAAAATTGGGATAATAATAACTGATTGTCATGAGGTTTACATATATGACTGTATAAAATCTAGCACTATGCCTGGTACGTAGAATTATCATTAAAACTACCGTTGAAAACCATCTTGTGTATGCAAATCATTTTATATTTGGAATGTACTTTTTACCTAAATTATTATATAATCAGATACAGCCTTGAACACTTTTTTCATTGCTTTTAGACTTTAAAAAATTGCCATGGTTGTTCACTTTTTTGGCCCAGCATTTGCTGTGAGAAGCTCAAGAATTTCATATAACTTTAATGGCTGAATAAATATAATTAATTATTATAGCTGTAAGAATAGAATTTTCTTTTTCTACCTACGAGTTTATATAATACTTAGGATATAAATACTTAAGATGAACTGAAAACCCCTAAAAGATTCTGGAAACACACAATTTAGCGTTTAAGTCTTGGTTTTGCCACTAATAAATCTTTGACCTTGAGTAACATTGTTTAATCTCTTTGTTTCCTCATCTGTAAAATGAGGATAATAATGACTATCTCAATAGGGTTATTGTGAGGTTTAAATAATATACTGTTTATAAAGCTCTTACATAGTGTTTAATAGGGTTTAATATTAGAAGTTACTTTCACAAAAAGTATGAGATCTAATTTATTATGGAACTGCTACCAAAATCCCGTAACAAAACAGTACATTTTTCTGGAAGGTGTTTGGAATGCCTTTCTGTCCCCAAAGTTTGTTCATCTTGTACCTTTCAGTTAATTTATTATTGTCCTCCTGAGATTTGCTCTGCCAGGCAGTGGTTTCTAAATGTTAATCATCAATTAGTGATGGTCAGTGGCAGAGTTTTCAATGGCCTTGGTGAAATGAAAGAGTAGTCAGTTCAATATCATGATTATTTTAAACAGTTAACCTTAACTCAGAGAGCCTTTTCATCTTTTTTTTGGTCCATAAATTTTCTTTTCGAAATGGTGATAGTAGCTTTTAATCTTTAAGTAACTTTTAAAAATTAAATCCTAATAGTATCCAAAAATATGACTTGGGATAAACAGCCCTTAAGTTGATAATGTTCATTGAAATGAAAATGCAGAATTCTTACCTTGAAGATGTATTACTACTTAAAAAAGATTGTTACTTTGAACTACATTGCTTACTTCCCTGGGAGCCATTCAGCTATTAAAATTTATTAAAAATTTCTTTTTACTTTTTGCAGACCTAGAGGTGTTTTAAATTTGAGGTGCTAGCTCTGGATTACTTTATATCCTTTCAAACATTTTATACTTTTAGGTAATAGTCTTGTAATTACACAGATTGATGCCCCTAGGGACCTCAGGAAATGGCTCCTCTCTTCACAGAAAGTAATAAATGGATTACTATAAAAGATAGGCTTATCTCTGATAATAACCAAATTCTAGAAAGCTAGGATAAAATAGGAGGAGAAAACAGGAATTTGATATGCTATCCTAGTTATAAATTACTGTTCTGTGTATTTTCTAAACTTTGGAGACCAGCCAAGGTACTGTTTCCAGAATCATTTAAAGAACAATATGTGTACTTCTTACAATTAAGCACGGTAGATTTTTGTCTTCCTTGAGTAGATACATCAGTTCTTTTTGTAAGGAGTAATGAGAAGAACCAGTGAGCCCATGGTGTAATTCTTAAACAGCTTGTACACTTTAAAATGTTAAATTGGTAAGTCTAGAAATCTGGGAACCTCTTGATGAATGGTCAGATAAATTATTTTGTACTTTGATAGTGTTTGTGTTCTCATTGTGTGACCATTGTGGTGTTTTTTTTTTTTAAGATTTTATTTATTTGAGAAAGAGACAGAGAGCTTGAGAGAGAAGGAGAGAGAGAGAGCACAAGCAATGGGGAGGGGCAGAGGGAGAGGGATAAACAGACTGCCCGCCCCTGAAATCATGACCCTGATCCGAAGGCAGACCTTAACTGACTGATCCATCCAGGTGCCCCTGACCATTGTTTTTAAGAGTGGTTTAAGAATTAAGTAATTATGGAATAAGAACTTTTTTTTTTTTTTAAAGATTTTATTTATTTATTTGACAGAGAGACAGCGAGAGCAGGAACACAAGCAGGGGGAGCGGGACAGGGAGAAGCAGGCTTCCCACGGAGCAGGGAGCCCGATGTGGGACTCGATCCCAGGACCCTGGGATCATGACCTGAGCCGAAGGCAGCCGCTTAACGACTGAGCCACCCAGGCGCCCTGGAATAAGAACTTTTTAAAAAAGACTTATTTATTTATTTGAGAGAGTGCATTTGCTTGCGTGCATGAGCAGGGGGAGGGGCAGAAGCAGAGGGAGAGAGAATCCCAAGCAGATTCCCTGCTGAGGGCAGAGCCTAAACTCTGGGCTTGATCCTAGGACCCTGAGATCATGACCTGAGCCGAAACCAAGAGTCAGCAGTTTAACCGACTGAGCCACCCAGGTGCCCCTGGAATAAGAATATTTTTAAAAATTTGTGCCCAGTGGAATACTCATGCTAGATCTAAAATGCTACTTTTAAAGGGGGAACCTAAGGATTAGTGGATTGTAACTTTCAGAATCCTGTTACTTCTCAAATGAACTTAAACCATATTGCATTTAATTAACCATTGAAGAGAGGAAGGAAGGTGAGAGAAATAATGGAAGGTGGGGCAGGGGGAAGACTCCTGGATCTAAGTAGAATCTAAGTAGATTCATATTTTTTAAAGTACCATAGAATACTTACTTCATTACGAAGTGATCATTTACATTGTGTATATATTTGGCTTCATGCAAAGTCCTGGAATTTTAGATGTGTTTAGTTTTTTAAAAATCATTAGTGTACAAAATTAAGGTAAAAAGATAAGCAAAGCTTTTACTTTTGTAATGAAACAAACAGTAGTTCAACTTCAGTTGCTCTTTTGTCAGTTTTCTTCGTCAGTAGGATGATTTTGTCATGGAAAATGTCATCACCGCAAAAAAGATATAGTAGTATTAAGAAACATTTTGCTTAAAGGATTGGTCTTGTTTCTCATTGAGGGAATTCATTGCTTTTTCCATTCTATTGTCATCATTATTAAGAGCTGTAAATGTAGAAATGTTAAAGAATTGAGCTTTTTCCATTTTGTTTTTTCTTAGGATTCACTCCATCTCCAGTTGCACAACCACATCCTTCAGCTGGCCTTAATGTTGACTTTGAATCTGTGTTTGGAAATAAATCTACCAATGTTATTGTAGATTCTGGGGGTAAGAAAAATTGTTTTATTAATATTACTATAATGTTCTCATTTAGATTCTGTGTGAGGACAGATAATAATACTCTTTTGAACATAATGTAAATAGATTAAATTGGGGTAGCCAGTGAAGTTGTTCCTCTTCTCCCAGCCACTAGATGAGAACTTCAAGGGATTATTAACTGTTACCCTTTTCTTAGTGGCAGTTTTGACTCTGGGAGGATTTTGTTTCTCCCAGAGCTGGTGAGATCTTGCTCAGATTAGATTGGTAAATTGCTAATGACTTTGTGTAGAATGTTGTGCTTTGTAGTCATTACAATTTTTACCTTTACTGAAATGAAATTGGCTTTTTTGAAAAGTAGGAAAATAAAACCTTTGGTACCTGACTTGTTGAGACAGTCTGTACTTGAACAGCTAGAATGTATTAAATATTAGAGCTATTGGGGCTTTTTGTTATTTTAAGGATGGTTCTTTCTATAGTATGCCTGTTCATTTGTCTTAAAAGAACTTACATAAATTTGTAGAGCCAGGTTTCCATTTGTTTTCATTTAATATCTTGTTAATTTGAAGTTTGTGAAGATTAAGAGTTTCCATAAAATTTACTATTCTTAGCATGAGATGACCTTTGATTTTGGTTAGTAAATAAGTTCAAGTCATTTAAAGAAACATATCGAGGCATTTTTGATTTTATACTATATAATTATACAAAAAGTAAGCAAGCTTATAGAGAGTATGTGTGGACTAAGATTTTTTTTCTGTGCACTAGTAGGTTTATAATTACATTTTTTGATGCATTTGACTTTTTCCTTTTGAGTTTGTCTTTCTGGGAAAAAGGCTAAAGTAAATAGAGATCAACTGTCATATTTTGTAAACCACCATTTTTAGTGACTTTCTTTTTCAAATTCTCTATTATTCCTAGATCATGCTGTTGAGTCCTTTAGTGGGTTTGTTTGATTGGATTCACTTTACCTTCTCACTTTGGTAGAGAACCTTAAGAGATTTTATTATTTTCATTTCTAAGTAGTGTCCTAGTTTAGTAGATGGTTTAATGTAGTTGGAGCATAAGGTTAACAATTTCTTAGGTATAATTTAGGTTAACTGTTTTTAGACAGAAGAAAAGTAATAATCAAATGGTTCATTTTCACTTCCTTCTAATGTAGTGGTTTACATATACCTTACATTCTCAACTCTGAAGAATGTAAAGAGGTCTATAAAATATTTCTTAGAAGAAGCATTTTTCAAAGGAACAGAGATGTATTTTTTATCTCTGTTTCTTCAGGTATAAGTAAATTTTCAGAAAATTTTGCCAGTGAGGGGGAGAATTACATTCCATTCCCTTCTCTTTCACAACTTTGGAATAAGAATTGTTTATTTAAATGCTTCTTTCTTCATCCCTTTTAACCTTAATATACTTTTGTCATGAAATAAGACATGATTTCTCCCAAAGCAAATTTGCCTTTTCAATCAGTTCACTCTGAAACGGTGAATTTCTCCCTTTTCCATTTAAAGTCATTAATTAATGCCCAGTGTCGTGGAGGACTTTTCCAGCAAACAAGTAGAAAAGGCAGGGATCTCCTATAGAAAGCTGTAGCACCATAAAGTCCCTTACAAATCCTATTTCATCTGTTTGTAACTTTAAGGCTTTGATGAACTAGGTGGACTTCTGAAACCAACAGTGGCCTCTCAGAACCAGAGTCTTCCTGTTGCCAAACTCCCACCTAACAAGTTAGTATCTGATGACTTGGATTCATCCTTAGCCAACCTTGTGGGCAGTAAGTAGTCTTTGGATTCTTTTAATCTTCTTTACGATAAATTGTATTATAAAAATGAGTCTAGTTTTTAAATGCTTTATTTCCTGTCCTAGATCTTGGCATTGGAAATGGAACTACTAAGAAGTGAGTGTTTTATATGTATTATTTCCCCCATGTACCATTTAGAGGTTGATTTGGCTTTCATCTCAAAAATATGTGTAGAGCTCTTGCATCTTAAATGCTTTTTGTTCACTCTATAGTAAAGAAGCTTTATAATAACAGACATTTAACGTTCTCACTTATGTTTATTTAAAGTGATGTAAATTGGAGTCAGCCAGGTGAAAAGAAGCTAACTGGAGGATCTAACTGGCAACCAAAGGTTGCACCGACAACTGCTTGGAATGCTGCAACAATGGTGAGTTGAAAAAGCCCACAGTAACATGACTCATTTGGGAGAATAACATGAAAATGTTTTTAAAGTGATAGCTGTAAGTAGGAAGATTGTTTATTGAGTTTTAGATATATAAGTAATTTGTATTTTTTTTTTTTTAAGGAAGCTTATATTTGCCAGGTATATTTTAGTAGCTAATATTTATTTAAGGATTACTTTGTGCCAGCCATCATTTTAATAAATAATGTGTGACTTTATTTTCTGTAATCCTCAAATAAACCTTATGTGGTGGTAACTATTACTGTCCCCATTGTGCAGATGAAATGGAGGCACAGAGTTACTACATAATACACCTAGGATCCCAGAGTTCTTAAGTGATGGGGTAGATTTTTAGAACCCAGGAAGCCCAACCTCAGAGCATAAACTCTACTGCTGATCTCAAATTTATTATTTATTTATCTAGAATATAAAATCTTTAGTGTTTTTCTGATCTCACCATTGGTAAAGAAACTATATGTGCTTGGTTTTGTTAATATTGTCGAATAGTTCATAGAGTTGATTTTCCTTACTTGCTGTAGTTATATTCTTAAAACTCTTGAACACTGAACCATTGCTAGGTTCATACATACATACATACATACATACGTATTTCCTCTAGTAATGGCTCATGGTTCACTGATTTAGTGTTGGGTTGTTTTAACAACGTAGGTGCAGCAAATAAGGAGACTCAGCTATACGTGTGTGTGTGTACATACACACCCACACCCCTTACATTCATTATTATCTTAAATCCTAAAAAATTCTCGTTCTAGTAGATGCCTTTTTTTTTTTTTAACAAAAAAGAAAATCCAGTTCGTAAGTGTTAAGTGACTTACCTGAAGCTGCCGCACTAACAGGTGCTAGACTTGAGAATCTAGCTCTATCAGGCTGGCTCTACAGCCAGAGCAGCTTGCAGTGCACTGCACTGTTCCCTACCTTCTCAGTCCCCTCTGGTCATCGTTATAGCCGAGCTGAAACAAGGCAGAACCTCACTTTGTTTAGCCTCAGCTGAGAACGAAGGTATTAGGCAGCAAATTTTTCACCACTTTATGCATGTCTGTCAGTGACCCTGAAAGTACCACAAACATTGATTTTGGGGGTTACAAATTTTAGCAAGTAAGCAGATTTATCCACTTTTTTTTTTTTGTAAATTTAACCACCTTTTTATTGATTGATTGATTGATTGATTGATTGAAGATCTTATTATTTGACAGAGAGATAGAGAGCTCAAGTAGGCAGAGAGGCAGGCAGAGGGAGAGGGAGAAGCAGGCTTCCCGCCAAGCAGGGAGCCCGATGCGGGACTCGATTCCAGGACCCTGGGATCATGACCTGAGCCGAAGGCAGCTGCTTAAGCGACTGAGCCACCCAGGCGCCCTTAACCACCTTTTTAAGGCAGCAGTTTTTCATTGATAGAGTACACTGCCATTACTAATAATAAATCCTTGCATTTAATTAGCTTGTTAGGTTTTTTACACATACCCTTACTATCTTGAGTCTGTTAACAGTGCATTCTTGGGGAAGTTTGAATTGATAGCATTCCAATTACAAGAATAAAGTTATGCAGTTTTTCTTTTGTAAGTGTAAAGCATCTAGAAAGCAGATTTTAGTTGAAATCCATTCCCTCTGATCTGAATCCAGTGTTTCTCTGCACTGTCACATACCTCACTGACCAGGGGATGACAAGAGGTTAGGTTAGTGGATTTTTATAGCCTCAGGTGTGAATTATACACTGATAATACATGAAGACTGTTATAAATCCAAATGCTGATAGAAAATACAGTGAATATTTTCTTATTTTGTATTAAATTGGTATTAACCTATATGAAATATTAGAAGTTTGTAGATAGCACTTAAGATTGACGACCAGAATATAATAGGCATTTAACCATTTAGAATTTGTATGTAAGTTGATGATATTTATGGTACTCTGTCAACGTGTGTCATCTCTTAAGAATTTTGTTAAAATATTTGTATGTATGTATTTCATAGAGTTTCTTTTTAATGACTAACATAGGGCTGGTGATGTGATTCACTACTTAGATAAACTGCTGCTTATGACGTTTCTTTACATTTCTAACCTTTTTATTAATCCATAAACACTGTCAAGGTTTTTGAACTTTTTTAAGTTAAAAAATTCATTGGTATTTTATTAATACATATGATGATGTTATGCTACAAATTCTTTTAATTACTGCTTGCTTTTTTTCTGAATGGTAGACATATAATGCAACCCTCTTTATATGGGATGCACTGAATTTTGCAGTGTTGACACTACTGATAGATTTTATGTTTTATGATACTTGTAATCAACTATTAGATATGTAAGGGGATTATGCCAGAGACTAAATTTCCCTTGTCAACCTTGATAGTGTTTTAGTTTAGGTGTTCTTCCATTAGATATCGGAAATACAAGGGATTTTAGGTAGTTACTGAATGTACATGTGAACTAAAATGCTCTCTGTGTATTTTCTGTTGTGTAAGTACTTGTTCTAATCCAGTGTTATTGCATTATGTAATTGTTTTCCCTGGGAAAAACAGAATGGCATGCATTTTCCACAATACGTAAGTGACCAAAAACTAGCCTTTTTGCAATAAATTGGCATGCTATTAACCACTGCTGTAGCAGAATCTCATAACCTTCCAGCTATTACTTGTTTTCACCTTCAGATTTTCAATGTGCCAGAAATTCTTTCTAGCATCTACTGATTTCATGGATGTGTTGCAGAATTGATTCTGATGGTGGCATGGGAAAGACAGATTTTTTTTTCTTGCTTAATATTCTGCCATTTGCTGCCAGATGGCTGGGTGTCTGTGTGTGTATCTGTGCTGCCACTATGCACTTGATGATTTCTGAATGAAGGGAAATGTTGATTGTGGTAATGTTGAAAATAACAATTGCATGAAATCTTACAGGCTTCTGCTGTACTTGGCAGTTTGTCTACTGCTCTTGCAGCTCTCGGTTTTTAAGTAGGGAGAGACCAATAAGTCCTACATGCTCACTCAAATACTAAACTTTTAACTATTCACTTTAGTTATGCTTCATTTAACTTCTCCATGCATATGTTCAAATTGCCATATAATTTCAGTTATTTTTTATGTTTCAGCAGTGTTATTGGTCTTTCTCCTGTATTCAGTTTCAGTTTTCATTATAACACACACACACAGGGAATGTTGTTAAGACAGCAAATGTATCTAAAATGATTTTGTGCTCAGACTGTGTATTTACAGAGCATGAGGTGTAGGGTAGAAGGTGGAGGGCAACTTAAACATCTTAGGGCTAGGTGGCTCTTTTAAGAATTAAAGCATAAGTAGATTTAAGAATTTCTTGCCCCTCCAAATTGGTGCTTTGCAGAAGATAGTTTAAATAATTTACAGAGTAAATTAGAAGGAATGCTAATATATGTACTCTGTATAAGAACTGTGTGCGTCATAAAAATAGTCATACTCCAGTAGTGTTTTGAAATCTTTGGGGTTCTTTGAAAAAAAGTGAATTGAGGTCCTTAGAATAATTTTTTGGAAGATCAGATTATTAATTGATTTGGGATCTTTAATTTCTTTTTTCTTTCTCAAAATACTGAAGCACCTAGGAAAACATTCACTAATACTTCTTCTGGGTAAACTTTTTTTTTAAGATTTTATTTATTTGAGAGGGAGACAGCGAGAGAGAGCATGAGCAGAGAGGAGAGGGAGAAGCAGGCTCCTCGCTGAGCAGGGAGCCTGGCCCTGTGCTCCATCCCAGAAACCTGGGATCATGACCTGAGCCAAAGGCAGACGCTTAACTGCCTGAGCCACCCAGGTACCCCTGGGTAAACATTTTTTATGATAGTGATAGACTTTAAATTTTAGAATTTTCAGGTTTTTTTTTAAATCTGAAGATCTTTAAAGCTATAAAAAGCACATTGTAATTTTAGATCACTGTTGTATCTAAGTTTAAATGGTATTTTCTAATTCTGCTTTTCTGCTAATTTCGAGACACTCTTTCATTGAGCATTAGTTGACACAGTTATTAATGATCATAAGTGTCACATTTAATCACAGCTGTCTTAGCAATTCTTTTTAGTGGAACTACAGCTATTGATTCCTTGAATTCAGTTGACATAACATGAGTTATACATCCTTGTTTATTTTTTCTCCACCATGTCAGGCACCCCCTGTAATGGCCTATCCTGCTACTACACCCACAGGCATGATAGGATATGGAATCGTAAGTACTTTTCCAGACACAGCTTTTTGAAAATAGATTGATTCATATTTAACATGACTTTTTACAGACTTAACTAAAAAAAGAACTTGGTGACACACATACCTTTAGTGCGTAACATAGAACCTTGTATCATAGCATTGGTTTCATAAATATTTCTAGAATAGTCATTATACAGCAGATATCATTTATGAATGTTCACAGTATTACTTGAGTTATTTTTCCCCTTATAACTTCGCTAAGTATTTTATACTTCATTACAAACTCATTTAAACATCAGTGTTAACTCCAACCCTTTATTTGTGTGACCTTACATTAATACCATTGAAGTCTTATAACCTTAATACTGTAGGGGAAGGGAGGAATTAACATTTCTCAAATTGTGTAAGGGTAAATTTAGTACAGGCCAGAGAAACTTTCCTAAGACAGTGATTGCTACCATGCAGAAATAGTTGTTTTACCTTTTTAAGCTGCCCACAGTCCACAGTCTACGCTGCCCTTACTCTCCCAGCTGTCTTAATATATAGACCCACTTAGATAAGAAATGGAGGGAATGGCTTCAGCCCCCTGTATGTGTTGGAGGAACTGTTGCTGGTAGGAGGCAGCGTCACATCCCGTGGGGTTGCTACTGTGCTGCTGCTTTAGTATCTTAGGAAGTAGCTTGGAGTTGAACTGAAAGGTGGAACCTGTAGGAAGGTAAGATTTTAGAGTACGGCATTTTAACCAAAATAATGTAGTGGTGTGTATGTTCTGTTTGGTTACTTATTTGTGTTAATTTTATACCATGGAGTAGTAGTTTTTAAACAGAGAAATGGTTGGTTGAGATTCTATTTTCAGTTACTCAAGAATGAACTAATCTCTTCATGTGTTATTTAAGCCTCTTCTTGGTTCTCCCTAACAATAGATGAAATAAAAGGAAAGAACCATAGAGCGTAAACCTCTTCAAAGAATCAACTGTATTCATTTCGGATCACTTGCATAATGGCATAAGAACTGATAAAGACAGTTTACTTTGAAATATCCTAGCCATTTTACAGTTTGAAGTTTTCCTATGTTTGCAATTTCAAAATTGCAAAGTTGATAATTTTGGGTTGGTTAAAATTATTTTGTCTGCCATACTGTAGAAAGATTTAAATTTTGCTTAAATTTAAGCTTTTTTTTTCACAAACCTTAAAAGTGTACACATTTAAGACTTAAAAAAAACTCTTAATTTATAGCTGTCAGTCTTATTTGTATTCAAAAGAATTTTTCCTTTGAGTTAAAGTAAAAGTACTAGTACATTCCATTCCTATCATCCTTTTTTACTACTTAAGGAAGATGTTAGTCGACATTAACTAAATTAATATTTTTCTATTTTTTTAGCCTCCTCAAATGGGAAGTGTACCTGTAATGACACAACCAACCTTAATATACAGCCAGCCTGTCATGAGACCACCAAACCCCTTTGGTTCTGTATCAGGAGCACAGGTACTAATGTGCCACATGTAACTCTTAATGTGCCTGATGTGAGAAGGATAGAATACTAAAAATTCCTTTTATACAACTTAAGAAACAAACTATGTTTTTCCCCTTGATGGTGGATGTTATTTGCTTCTTATCTTTATCATCTAAAAGAGTTTGTAAGAATATTGATTATTTGGAAGGAACGGACAAGCAGATTACAAACATTTAGAATGGAAAATTCTTGACAACTTGTAGTTGCTCAGTGCAGAGGATGGTTTTTCTGAGGTTAAGGAACCTATTTTCTATTCATGATTCTGGCTTGCTCTCCTTTGTGAACCCTAGAAACCTTGAACTCTCTAGTGTTTTGGCTTGAATGGTGCTACAACAAAGGTGTTGCCCTTGGGATGTTTGTGAAACGTGGCAAGTCTACAAAAAGTTGTGCATGTTATTTTTTCGTTAGATAACTTCCTGCCACTGAGTATTGTATTTAAAAACAAATTAGTGGGGCGGGGTGGGGGGGTGGGAAGGCAAAAAATCCTTGAAATGCCATGCTGACCTAATTTCTTTAAAGGAGAGACTTTCCTCTTCAAATGTTTCTAAGACCCTCTCCCAATTCCTGAAATTTCAACCCAAATAGTAATACTTTTTCATCCCATTATTGTTAGCATTAGGGGAATCTGGATTTAAAAAAAAAAAGCTTTTCCCCACTATGGTTAGAAGATATGTGCAGCTTCTTTGTTACTCGTGGCATACTAGTGGATGAGACACTCAGGAAGTGATAGAATGGCTTCTCATTCTTTGTCTGTGGCCCTGCTCCTGTTGTGTGACACTTAGAAATAATTATGCACAATTGTTAAAGTACTCCTTTCTTAACACTGCTTCTGATGCCAACTGATTGGTTACTTTCATGTGTTTAATACTTAACTTGAAAACATTGGTGTGAGCATTTGGTAATGAGCTTGTTATTCCTTTCCCGCTTGAATACATGTAGTATTTACACTTGCCAGTGCCTACAGTGTTAAACTACCAATATTAGTTTGTATTGGTCCAGTTTGAATCTAGTCTCTATGTATTTCATAGACTCATGAACCATTGGCAATCAATCCTTTTGTTTTTTAGTCTTTTTGAGTATTTATTTTTTTTTTAAAGATTTTATTTATTTATTTGAGAGAGAGAGAATGAGAGATAGCACGAGAGGGAAGAGGGTCAGAGGGAGAAGCAGACTCCCTGCCGAGCAGGGAGCCCGATGTGGGACTCGATCCCAGGACTCCAGATCATGACCTGAGCCGAAGGCAGTCGCTTAACCAACTGAGCCACCCAGGCGCCCTTGAGTATTTAACTCATAAATTGGCATCTCAGGGAGTACCAGTAACTTGGAGTGGATAGTGAATTTAGTTCTGATTAAAAGGTAAAATCCATGTTCTTTGTAATTCATATATTTGCCCAGATGCCACTTTTTTCCCCCCTTTTTTCTTCCTGTTCCTTAGTCAAAGTATTTACAATGAAGATAGCTGGGAGTGAGAGTAATTGATGCAGCCATAACTTTTTTATAAGTTTGTTATTTTGTATGTATTTGGTTTTATAAAATGGATTATGGATATATATATATATATATATATATATATATAGTTTGTCTTCTGTCTTTTACCACTAGTAGTTCTAAATACTGGCTTTGCTAAAGAAATATACTAGATTTTATAATCTTTTGAAATGTTGATGATTTCCTTAACTATTGGTGTAGATGTTTTCTTGAGATTGTATGTCTTCCTCATGTCCTTTATTTTTTCTTTCAGTTTTTTTCTTTGTTGCTTATACTTTTAAGTCAGATATATATCATTTTTTTTTAAAGATTTATTTATTTTAGAGCACATGCGAGTGGGGGGGAGGGGCAGAGGGAGAGAAGCAGACTTCCCACTGAGTGTGAAGCCTGATGCGGGGCTTCATTTTATAACCCTGAGATCATGACCTGGGTCAAAATCAAGAGTCGGATGCTTAGGGGCGCCTGGGTGGCTCAGTCGTTAAGCGTCTGCCTTCGGCTCAGGTCATGATCCCAGGGTCCTGGGATCGAGCCCCACATCAGGCTCCCTGCTCAGCGGGAAGCCTGCTTCTCCCTCTCCCACTCTCTCTGCTTGTGTTTCCTCTCTTGCTGTGTCTCCCTCTCTCTCTGTCAAATAAATAAATAAAATCTTTAAAACAAAAACAAAAAAGAGTCGGATGCTTAACCAACTGAGCCACCCAAGCACCCCTATCATTTATTTAAATTTTTTTTTTCCTGTATAGACTAAGTGACTAGCACCTTAAATGTATTTAAGAGAAAAAGCCTTAATCCAGTGCTATAAATTTATCAGGAACTGCTGACTACAGTAAGTTTTTCCCCCATGTGTGGCTGACCCTATGTCCCCAGTCTGGGTCTTGTCTTGCAGGTTCCTGTCTCATAAGCAGAATACATTATAACCTTAAGCTTGGATACCTCAACCTGACATTTTCCAAGCACTTATTATCTCACCTTCTTCTCAAAATAATTTTTAAGGTAGATGGGCCAACTGTCACCATCCCATTTTATAGATTGAGAAAGCTGAGACTTGGAAAGGTTCTTCAATTAAGTAAGTGCTGAAATGCAACTTATCCCCAGGAATCCCTGGTTTCTGGTCCAGTGCTCATTTGTAACACTTTGCCTCTCTACTAATGGGATTGGGCCCATATGCCTACTATACTAGCACTGTCTTCCTTTTGGGCAGCAGTGAACCACTCTGCAAATCTTTGGGTTTCTTGCTGGATTATAAACTACATTTACACATTTCAGAATATAACTTCTGTAGATGTGAAGAACATCTTCTGTAGTTTTGGGAATGATTTTAACCTTACTCAAACATTTTATATGAATTTTGCTTTAAAAAGAAAAAAACATGGTTTAAAAAGTAGCAGCTCCTTAGCGTCTGCTCTTACTCTAGGTTTTATATCCTGTTGCCTTTTAAAAATCCACATAACTCACTGAAACACCAAAAAAGTACAAGAATTTCCATGGGCATGAAAAGAGACAGTGACAGAAATACCTTTTCCTAATGAAATTATGCCAGAAGAGGAGAGAATGAGAACATTAGAGTAATAAGTTTCAAGTTAAGAAATAAAATTTGATGTTAGTCCTTAACTCTAAATATAGATTGAAGAAAGCACATGAAGCAAATGGATAACTAGGAAAGGAGAAAATCAGGTGGCAGTGAAGTGGCTCAGAAAAGCTTCAGTCAGTTTCAAGCAATTGAAAATCAGACTCTCAGATTTTTTTTTTTTTTAAAAGATTGTATTTATTTATTTCAGGGAGAGAAAGCACAAGCAGGGGAAGGGGCAGAGAATTTCAAGCAGACTCCATGGTGAGACTCATGACCCTGAGATCATGACCTAAGCCGAAATCAAGTCTGATGCTTAACCAGCTGAGCCACCCAGGCTCCCCAGGATCTCAAATCTTTTAATGTTACTTTTCATTCCTTTTCCCCTTTGTTCTCCCAACTGTTCATCACAAAGCCCCATTAATTGTTTCTCTGCTGTCATTAGATCCATCCTTCTTGCTTTCTACAGCCTTCACCCAGATTGGAACCCTTTATCTCATGCTTATTTTACAACAGTCTCCCTGTGTTTCTTACCTTTCTAATTTAATCCATTCTGTAAATACTGGAATAATCTTCTATGGGCAGTATTTTTAGCATCTTATCTCCATATTTAGAAATCTAAGGAAGTGAATCTAAATATAACTGAACAGGGTGCCTGGGTGGCTCAGTTGGTTAAGTGACTGCCTTCGGCTCAGGTCATGATCCTGGAGTCCCGGGATCGAGTCCCGCATCGGGCTCCCTGCTCAGCAGGGAGTCTGCTTCTCCCTCTGACCCTCTTCCCTCTCGTGCTCTCTGTCTCTCATTCTCTCTCTCTCAAATAAATAAATAGAATCTTTAAAATAAATAAATAAATATAACTGAACATAAAAGCCATCCCCTTAGCTTTCCTTCTTTCTTAACAGCTACCTCACAAAAGTCTGCATATTTGTAAGAGTAATAGTGAGTAAACAGAACATTCAGGTTCTTCAATTCCCATGCCTTTACAATTCTCAGTAAGTATCCAGTGTTTTGCTGCTTGTCTGTGCCAGAAAGCCTTCATCTGTCATAAAGTAGATTTATTCTTTGTTCTTTTTTTTTCTTTGATAATGTTTTTAGTTTTTTTAAGGTTTTATTTTAATTCCAGTTAACATACAGTGTTGTATTAGTTTCAGGTGTACAATATAGTGATTCCACACTTACATACCTTACCCAGTGCTCATTCTTTACTTATTCTTTAGTCCTCTCTCATCCCTTTCCAGTACTTCTGAGATCTGAAGTTCTTTTCCTTATCCTGCATTATTTTTCTTTATAGAAGTTACTATATTACCTGACATCTCTTTGTCCTGTCAGTCTATCCATCTATCCATCCAGTCCTGCAAGAGACTCCTGGAGTGGATTATAAGCCTCGTAGAGGCAGGCTTCTGTGTGTTTGTTTATTTCTGTGTCCCTGGTTCCTAGAACAGTGCCTGACTCGTAATAGTTTTGAACATTGTCAAACAAGAACATTGTCAAACAAGTGAATCTGGTTGAAAACTAACCTTTTCTATTATGTAACTTACTTGTTCTTCATTGATCTCTCTTTTCACTTACTTAATAACCATTGTGTGATAATTTATAGCCATATTTAAAATTGGTTTAATTTGTTAGCTAATAGTTACTGTAAGCTAAAATATCAGATGACAGTCACCTAAGAAATGAAGATGCCTTTAATTTCATGATTGAATATTTTTAATAATTAAAAATTATGCTGTTTATCTTTTTTTTTTTTAAGATTTTATTTATTTATTTGACAGAGACACAGGGAGAGAGGGAACACAAGCAGGGGGAGTGGGAGAGGGAGGGGCGGGCTTCCCACAGAGCAGGGAGCCTGATGCGGGCTCCATCCCAGGACCCTGGGATCATGAACTGAGCTGAATGCAGATGCTTAATGACTGAGCCACC